CCTGCTTTGGGATTTGCTGCTGTGGGGTTATCTATTGCATGTGTTTTAGTGGGTGCATATAACTTCCTTAGATTGGAATTTTCCTTCTGGTGCTTTCTGTAGGGCTGGATTTGTGGAGAGGTATTGTTTAAATCTGGTTTCGTCTTGGAATGTCTTGTGTACTCCATCTGTGGTAATTGAAAGTTTTGCTAGGTATAGAAGTCTGGGCTGGCATCCGTGGTCTCTTAGTGTCTACATTACATCTGTCTGGGATCTTCTGGCTTTCAGAGTCTCCATTGAGAAGTCAGGTGTTATTCTGATGGCTCTGCCTTTGTAAGTCACTTGGCCTTTTTCCTTTGCTGCTCTTAATATTCCTTCTTTATCCTGTATGTTTAATGGTTGGATTATTATGTGGTGAGGGGATTTTTTTTTGGGGTCTAGTCTATTTGGTGTTCTATAAGCTTCTTTTATCACCATAGGTATTTCCTTCTTTAAATTGGGAAAGTCTTCTCCTATGATTTTGTGGAATATATTTTAAGTGCCTTTGAGTTGGTATTCTTCTCCTTTTTCTATTCCTATTATTCTTAGGTTTGGCCTTTTCATGGTATCCCAGATTTCCTGCATGTTTTGTGTTAGGACTTTTTTTGGTTTTAGTGTTTTCTTTGACTGACAAATCTATTTACTCTATTTTATCCTCCACACCGGAGATTCTCTCTTCCATCTCTTGTATTCTGTTGGTTATGTTTGCATCTGTAGTTCCTGTTCACTTACTCAGATTTTCTATTTCCAGCATTCCCTCAGTTTGTGTCTTCTTCATTGTTTCTATTTCAATTTCTAGGTCTTGAACTGTTTCCTTCACCTGTCTAATTGCTTTTTCTTGGCTTTCTTTAAGGGATTTATTGATTTCTTCCAATTTTTGTTTGTCTTTTCTTCAATTTCTTTAAGGGAATTTTTCAATTCCTCTTTAAAGGCCTTTGTTGCTGGAAGGCTTCTCTCCAGGTTCCCCAAGCCCCGCAGTCCCACAATCCACTTATAAAATAATCACTCAGATGCTTATATCACTTATAAACTGTATGGCCGTGGCAGGCTTCTTGCTAACTGTTCTTTTATCTTAAATTAACCCATTTTTATAAATCTATACCTTGCCACATGGCTGGTGGCTTACCAGAGTCTTTACATGTTGCTTGTCCTGGCAGTGGCTGCAGTGTCTCTCCCCTCAGCCTTCCGCTTCCCAGAATTCTCCTCTCTCCTTGTCCTACCTACTTCCTGCCTGGCAACCTACTTCCTGCCTGGTCAGTGGCCATCAGTATTTTATTTATATAGAGCAATATCCACAGCAGGCCTTTTTCATCTTTATAAAGTTATTTTTAAGGTCACTTTCTTCTGCTGCTTCTACATTGTGAAGTTCAGGTCTCGCTGTTGTAGAACTGCTAGGTTCTGATGGTGCTATATTGCTCTTTATGTTGTTGTGTGTACTTTTGCACTGGTGTCTACCCATCTGTTCCTCCAATAGGTGCAGGAGGTGTCTGTGTCTGAGGGACCTGCTCTTGGTCCAGTATGTGCTTGCTGTGTCTGTGTCTCAGGGGGCCACTCTTGGTCCAATCTTAGCTCTTGGTCTAATTGGACCTGGTGGATTCTGTGTCTCTGGAAGCTGCTGAGGTCTCAGGTGGATGGATGAGTTTGGGGTTTAGAGTGGGTCTTGTAGATTGCAGGGTCAGATGGGGGTTTTTGTGGGGGAAGCGTCCCCACAGGAGTCTTCCCTGCTGGCTTGCAATTGGGGCAGCAATGGGTGGGGGTGGGGGGCATGGGTTGTGCCTCAGGGGCTAGTTCCTAGAGGTAGGATTCTCTGGGTGGTAGAAGATTCACTCACCTCTTGGGCCCATCAGAGCTGGCAGATTCTGTTCTCAGGAAGCTGCTGAGGTCACAGAGGGATGGGTTAGTTTGGGGTAGGGAGTGAGTCTTGTAGATTGCAGTGTCCAATGAGGGTTGTTGGTGGAGAAGCCTGCTCACAGGAATCTTCCCTGCTGGCCTGCAACTGGGGCATTGATCGAATTGTTGAACTTGTATCAAATACTTTTGTACATCTGTTAAGATGAGCACGTGTTTAAAACTTCATTATATTGATGTAATACATAACATTTATTAATTTGTAAACTAACCATCCTTAGGTCCTTGGGATGTATCCCACTGATCACAGTGAGTATTTTTGTTGATTTGCTTTTGGAGTCCTTTGCTAGTATTTTGTTGAGGATTTTGTTTTGATGTCCAAGAAGAATGACTAGCTTGTAGGTTGTTGTGCGTACATATGTATTCTTCCATGTAAACTGAATTTGAAAGAATTTCTTATTCCTCAAATTTTGGGATAATTTGATAATTTCTGTTAGCTTTTATTTAAATATTTGAATTCAGCAGTGAACTCACCTGTTGTTGATGGGCTCTTTTAACAGTTGTTATATATTATAAAATCAATTTTACTACTCATTGATTTGTTTAGGTTTTCTATTTCTTTGTAACCAAGTCTCAGTAAGGTGTTGTCTTAGTTTGTTTTCTATTTCTGTGATCAAAACCATGACCAGAAGTCACTTGAAGGGAAAAGGTTTTACTGTCACTAGCAGTCTACTAGATTCTGTAAATATGATTCCCAGTAGGAAGCCATGCTTTAGGAGCCATATTTTTCTGTTAAAAGTCCCAGGCGCATGCCTTTAATCCCAGCACTCAGGAGACAGAGGCAGGTGGATTTCTGTGTTCGAGGCCAACCAACACTACAGAGTGAATTCCAGGAAAGGCGCAAAGCTACACAGAGAAACCCTGTCTTGAAAAACCAAAAATAAATAAATAAATGCCCCAGAGCTTTGTTGGTTATGTGTATTTGTCTAAAGAAAGAAACCCATTTGTACCATGGGCTAGGAAATTTGTTAATATGATAAAAATATCTATCATAAAAAATTAAGAAGATGAATAATTCTTTTGGCTCATGGTTTCACAGGCATCAGTTTATCATGGTGTATAGGGCATGGCAGAATAAAGTATCATCATTACATCCAGGAAGCAAAGAAAAAGGGATATGAGAAAGAGCTAGGACAAAATACCCCTAGGACAGACCCACCCCAGGGACCTTCAAGTAGGCCCCACCTCTTATCTTTTGCCACATCCCAGTAATTCTATCAAGGAACCAATCCATTTGCCAGGACAAAACCCTCATGATCGAGTTGTCTCTGGAAGCACCATCACAAAGACACTGAGTCATGTGCTTTACTAACCTATCAGGTGTTTTTTAATTAAGTCAAGTTGACAGACTTTTGCCTTCACTTCTAACTCTGTACAGTTCTTTGAATAGTTGTCTTATCTCCAAATAACTTCTCTAAAAATAAAGAGTGGACATAATATCTCAGCTCTTCCCAAGAGCTTCCAACTTTCCCCTTTACACTTGTCTTTAAATTTCTCCCATAGTAACTGATCCAACAAGCTTGATTTTTTTCAAATGTCTTCCAACAATGATGTGGAATGATTTGCTGCTAAATCCTTTTAATATCAAATGCATATGTAAAAGTCATTTCTCCAACCAGTTATTGATAACCAACATTATAAAAAACCTGCTATACACACCCAGAAAATTTACCACACTGTCTAGGCATATAACGAATTCACTACTCCCAAGGGAGACACTGGCAGCTTAGAAAAAATAAATTCCTAATTCTTTACTCTGGAAATGATTATTGTCCATATTTCAGCTGTCACCTCTCTATTATTGGGGTGGAATGTAGAAATTTTCTTTTCCGTATTACCTAATGTTTATACAGTGTTTCTTGAGGCATGTAGCATTAACTAGTGGTTCTAATAGTTCCAAGAACAGAATCTCATCAGTAAGGCATATAATTGCATTAAGAAACAGGCTTTAATTAGCTCAGCGATGAGTTGGATTGCTCAGTTCATAATCCTGGGCAGATGTGAATGTATCATCATGTTGAAAATAGTCTTTGCAGATACATCAAGGAATTTCAGTATGAAATCATTCTGGGTTTATAGTGAATCTTAAATGGAATGGTGTGTTCTTGAAAGAGCAAGAAAGAAAAAGAGAGCATGCAGAGATGGTCATCTGAACACAAAGGCCAGGATGGTAATTTTGCTGCCATCAAACACAATGTTCCTAGACTGCCATATGCTGAAGAGGCAAAGAAGAACTCATGGGGCCTATCAAATCATGTCCTTTATGTTACCTTGTGTATTAGTTACTTTTCTATTGTTGTGAGCAAATACTACATACAACCAAGGCTACTTATAGAAGGAAGAGTCATAAGTCATTTGGGCTTATGATTCCAGAGGGATAAGAGTCCATCATGGTGGGGAGGCATGGCAGCAGGCAGGCATGGCCCCAGGAGCAGGCAGCTAGGATCTCACATCTTCAAACATAAGCACAAAGTGAAGCAAGTCCACTGTGACATACTTCCTCCAGCAAAGCCATACTTCCTAAACTTCCTCAAACAGTTCCACCATTAGAGACCAAGTGTTCAAATACCTGCGGCTATGTGGGATATTTCCCATTCAAACCACCACACCTTGTAATAGTGGAACAGAACTCGAATGAAAACCCATATGTATGTTTATTATCTTAACAAATTCTTATTGAACAACCTAATGTACTAGGCAAAGAAATAAGAAAATCCTTTTTGTTAACCCATATCTTAATAGTGATTGCAGAAAGAGAAAATAATCAAAACAAGCAAACAAAAGAATTCCTTCCTTCCTTCCCTCCTTCCCTCCTTCCCTCCTTCCCTCCTTCCCTCCTTCCCTCCTTCCCTCCCTCCCTCCCTCCCTCCCTCCTTCCTTCCTTCCTTCCTTCCTTCTCCTTTCTTCCCCAGGTTTAGGATTTGAACAACACAAGGGCTCGCTCATGCCAGGCAAGCACTCTACTACTGAGCTACCTACTAACTTTGGTAATCTATGATGGTGGTAAGAATTGCTAAAACAGAGTTATTCAAAAGAATGTTAGAGTGTGGGGACTTACAATTTTTGTTTTTTAGATCACGTGGTCAGAAAAGGTCCTGGAGGAGATGACATTTGAACTACCATCTGAACACAAGAGCTAGGGATTGGTGGATCGGGTAAAGAATGTTGAAAGTAGATGCTACAGCTTGTGAAGAGGCCTTTGGTAGGAATTCCTTGACTTCTGAGAACAGATGGGAAGGCAGATGTTTTTGCATGGTCACCAAATTGCTTTGAGAGTGACAGGGGTCAGTCAGATCCTGTGCAGTCTTCTAAACCACAGCTAAGAGTTGGTATTTTAGGAAGCACTTGGAAGTAGTAAAGAAGGAAAAAAATGATGTGATTTATCATTTTAAATGAATGTACTGTTGCCATGATGATTCTCCTGTGGGACATACACCTTCATCAGTAGGATTGGAAGTGGTGAGACTGATTTTCTCCTCAGAGGTCCAAGGCTTATCCTTACAGAGTTCAATTAGTACTTGTTCCCTCTCTTCACACCCATCATTTCTTCTAGGTGTCAGGCCTAGGCTCTGACTCCAAATGCTTTGTTAATCAACTCATACAATTGCATAAAGTCAGAACTCTATACTAAATTTATATAAATACAAATTTATATATTTATATGTAACACATATATTTATACACTTACATTTATTTGTGTTATATATTTTATATAAACTTTTAATAAATTAAATATATAGTATCTGTAAATTTGTATATAAAATATATTATTTTCATATATTTGGCATACATAATTACATAAGGAAGCAATGAAGCCTCAAGATCTGCTACTGACTGAAACCAAGGTGGCAGTTGTTCTCTAGCCCTACCTCTGTAGCTCTAGATCTACCAGCTGAGCCCAATGACCTAATCCCAAGGTTCCACATCCTCCCAAAACAGCATCACCAACTGAGGATGAACTGTTGATACACATAAGCCTATGAGGGCCATCTCAAACCATAACAATTGGCTAAAAATAAGTGTTATATGTGGTTTCCTGGACATAGCCTTAAAGGACGGGGAAGCGTGGTTACTCCTCTCTTTCTTTCTCCAGTTCCTTAGATACTGTATGAATTTACCAGAATCCCAGGAGCTTGCAGAAAAGGGTCCTAGTCTTTTTACATCATGAAAACACACCAGTTCAGTGACCCCCTCCCTCTAGGCTTTCATAATACAGGTAAACGTCATCATAGTTAAGCCAGCACTACTTTGGATTTTCTATCACACACAAAGTTAATAATGAATAATATGATACCCCACAACTAGCACCTTTTCTAAAGATAAATATGTTTGCTACAAGCAAGGATCTAATTGGCATAACTGTTATTCATGTTGTGTATAATTTAGTTTTCACACACCAAAAAAGTTCCCCCCCTATTCAACCCAAAGTTTCTTTTTTTTTTAACTTATGAAAGAATTATAGACCATTTATTAGCATCAATTATTAAAAGCACCATACTTCCTCTAGGGAAGCAAAAATTGATCCTCATTTTCCTCACAGCATCTCACATTTCATAAACCCTTGTTTAAAATTAACTCATATCATTAGACAACACAAAAATTATTTTACAACTACAAAATACAAGCTGTCTTCTGAGAGACTGAAAATGTGAGTTTAATATAGTACATAATATAATGTCAAATAGGTGACCAAAAACTATTCAATATTGGTGAAGACAGTCTTAACTCCCAGATTTCCAGCTGTTCTGGTTTCTGTCTTATCACACATCCTATTGCTCTGGCCAGATGTCATCTAGCCACAGGACAGGAATTTCCACCCCTGTTCAAGAGTATAAGTCACTAAAACTGGGAGGAACAATATGAAATTTATAACTAATGAAAAACTAAACTAAAGCATGTTTTCAATTTAGTTAACATTTTGGCTCTTTATTTGATATGTGTGGGAGCTTTTGTCTATGTGTTTTAAAATCTGGCATGTTCTATAAATGGTGCAATCCATTCTGAAGCCATGACCAATTTTTTTTTTTGAAAAAAGATAACTACTAGAATAAATCATGAAATGTCCAAGTACCTTGTACAAGGTAAGGGTGAATTTTTAAAAAAAAGATTCATGTTTTGTTTATGTACTTGGAGTGAGGAGTTGACCAAAAAGAATTTAGAGGTGTTGGAGAGATGGCTCAGCACACATAAGGCAAGTCATAACCTTCTGTAAACCCAGGGATCCAATACCAATTTCTGGCCTTATCAGGCACTGCATGCATATGTTATATGTACAGGCAGACAAAATACTCAAACATGTGGATATATATCATTTGGGTAAGAATTCCATTAACACTTCATTTCCCATTCTCTACCCTCCTGTATGCTTGAAGCCTTCTACCCCAAATGTCCCCTTTTCTATTTTCATTTTACCTGTGTTTTACTATTTACTTTCCCTCAAGACATCCACTTTCCAATGACCTATTTTTAGTTTCCTAGCTTCCATATGTACTCCAGGTTAAACATACAAAATTTTTATTTTAACAACATGAGATATGGTGATAGTCCATGTAAATTTGTATATATGTTTCTAAAAGGGATAGATAAGAATAAAATAACTACACTAACTCTTTGCTTGCCAGTCTTTGGAGGACAGTTTCCTCCCTCTTTAAGACTTAATGAACATTAAACCTGCAAATCCATAACATTAGCACAAAAGAAGCTTGATAAAACTAGTACAGTAATTTATACATAGTTATGAATGATTTGGTGAGTAATGTAATATGTAATATGCATCATGACTCAGATTGTCAAGCTAATATACAGCTTATTTATAGTAGATTATTTCCCAGTCTCTGTCCAATCATTTAATAGTTTCCATATGCTTGTCTATGCTTTGGTGAGTCTTACCCACCAAAAGCAAGTGGAAGGCCATAAAGTAAAAATTGATTTCCTTTTCACCACCCTTGCCTTCAGAACATTCTCTAGCACACATTCTAAGTGGCTTGTGGATTTTCCCTATATGAGTCTGAACATGTCTGAATGTTATAGATCTACAAAACAAATATTGCTGTGTGATCTTGTGTGATACATATGAATATCATAATACTATGAATGGATTTTGCTTACACACACACTATATAATATATATGTATATGTATATGTATATGTATATATATATAAAATGTAAATACAGATGGATGGGTATACCTTATTCTTTTTAATGATTACCTTGTGTTCCATTGCATGAGTGTTTGTCTGCTCATGGGTGAATAGCCCTCTTTAAAGTTTTTGCTATGGCAAACAACCCTTCAAGCACAATTTCTTTAAAAATTCCTTTTTGTTACATTTATTTCTTTTATGTGTGTGCGAGTGTGTGTGTAGATGAGAGGACAACTTGCTGGAGTCTGTTCTCTCCTTCCACCATGCTGATCTTAGTAGTAGGACCCAGGTTGTCAGGGTTGACACCAAATGCCTTTGCCTGCTCAGCCATCTTAGTGGCTCTAAGCAAGTCTTCTTATATTGCTTCTTTGGATTGCTTAGATGACACCTTCTAATGTCCTTTGACAACATATTTATAGGAATGGATATCTTTTATTCTCTAAAGCCCATGAGAACTCATTCCCATCAGTTTACAAACACAAAACCAAAGATGGTTTCATACAAATGATAAAAGTGGTTAGGAGCTCAGCTCCAATTAGACAAAAATTCTCTAACATCTTGTCATTTTCTTCTAAATTTAGATCACCAGCCTCAACTTGTCAAAAAAAAGTGATTCTAGAGATTATCCTTAAAATCCTTTCATGTTAATTTTATCATATCTTCTATCCAAAGGCGATCCGAGAGGGGAGGTGCAGCCTGGGAAACTATCACTAGACTACAGAGATGGAAGCTCCAGAAGGTAAGAACGGTGCTTTCACAGTGGGGAAGTGACATGCTGAGGGGCCTTGGTCATCTAGAGCATTAAAGAGGGGGTAACCCAACCCCCTCTTTAAATAATGAGCTCCTTTGAGAAGCAGACACCCTGAGATCTGCTGCTTGTTAGGTGTGGGCCTCAAACAAGTAGCTGAAATCCTCTACCTGAGTTCCCTGAAATGATCATGAGAATATTGTCTATTTTGTGAGGTTCTTATGAAAAAAAATCAAGAACTAACATTTATAAAGCATTGCAGGGCCTGGCACATAGTAAGCGCTCTGCAGGTGTTAGTTAAATAAAATGCCAAACTGTGTGAGCACGGTGCTTATCTTGCCTTATCTACTGAAGAAGCCCCTCCTGAAACTTCCTAAGCTGAAAGGAATGTATGTATGTAAAATGCTTGCTCCTTCTCTTCACCAGCCCCCTCAGTGTAGACACTTTTTTTATTTGGTGCTCACAGAAGCTCAGCATTTCAGTAGTCTATTATAATCAGAAGTGATTAGGTTACAAATAAAATGGATTGATATTGTGTAACTATTTTTCAGATAGTTGCTTGTGATTTATTTGTGTTCAACAAACTGTTTTAGAAGAAGAGGAGAATTGCAAAGATATATCATATAACAAATTGAGTTAAAATCCAGCAACCAAGTTTGACATATACTGTACTTAACATTTTAATGTTACAATTATTGAACTTCCTTTATTCAAAGGGGGCTTACCAGAGCTTCACACACCATCTTGCAATTTCCTGCATTTTGATTAGTTGCAAAAGATTTGGGCTCAAGTCTGAAGCTTTTTTTTTTTTTCCTGAAAGTTTCCAAGGTATGCTGTACACTTTGAGACTTTTTCTTTAGTAGAAAGGTGAAGGCCTGATACGGCCTTAGATGCTGCAACAGATTATTTTGGATGACTATATCATGATTTAGTCTAATAATGAAGACGAATGTCTCATTTTTCTCATATTATCACTAATAGAATTTGTGGGACTTCACATCAGCTTTTAAGCTCTTCTTCATACAGAATCACACGCATATGACTTCATGAGGATGTACTGAAATGAATGTGATCCTTGAAATTCTTGTGCTGGGATCCTGATCTCCATGGTGATGGCATTAAGAGGTTTAAATAACAGAGACTCAAGAAATCTTTCCACTTCTCCTGGTGGACACAGGGAAATTGTGCCTTTTCCAACTGTAAATCTGCTGGTACCTTAATGTTGGAACTATGATAAGTAAATTGCTGCAGTTTATAAAACCACTAGTAAATTGCATTGTCTTATAGCAGTCTGAAAGAACTAAGATACATATTTCTAGTGGTGAAAGTAAGGGACAAAATTAGCATGCTACAGGTAGTCACTAAGATATAGATTGTTAACTTTCAGAATTTTCTTTGATGAAAATGCTAAGAGAAGACTTTATATTAAATACAAGAATAAACAACAGATTATCAGGTGTTTTATGTGTATCTTTGTGTGTGTGTGTGTGTGTGTGTGTGTGTGTGTGTGTGTGTGTGTGTATCATCTTGTTTTAGAAAGCAACCTATCCAGGGATCCTCTTTCAGAACAGCAATTGGGAAAATATGGCATTCTAGTGTTTTTCTTTATCCCACAAGACTGCAAAAGCCCACATTTAACTTTCTTTTCAGACTTAAGTTGCTCAGGGAGCTCCACTCTGCTTTCTAACACTCCCCCATTTCCTGATGAATGGTCATTTCCCTTCTTTGCTAAGTCCTAACAGTTTTTCATGTTCTGCAATTTTCTCTGTTATATAGCCCTAGGCATAACTGGCCATAAAGTCACAGACAATAATAAAGCCTTAGATTTGGAAGGAAACATAGAGAATATCCAATCCACCCCCTCATTTTATAGTTAAAGAAATTCAGTACCCAAGAGGGTAAATAACTTTTTCAATGTCAGCCAGTTAATGTGTAGACTGGGCCAAAGTTGCCAAGGTAAAATTTTTTTTGTGGGTAAAACTGCAGCTAAAACCATTTTAAAATGCATACATAGTTCCTTCTGTCTGCTTAAAATAGCACAGTAATGCAACCTACACAACCAAGTTTGGAAGCTACTACTTCTAATCCTGAAAACACTGTTATATGAAAAACAGTGAAATGAGGTGTATGATTTATAGATGCTGGTCTCAGGATTTCTAGTTAATTCCGGGTTGGCTAGGTCAGTCTAAAGAGATTACTTTTCTTTTCTTAATGAGTTTTCTAGAGAGTCAATGGAAAAGAGACAAATACAAACACAGAAAACACATCAACACAAGAATCGGGCTTAATAATATATTGTCACAATTAATTTCTGTTACTATAATATCTAACATTTTATACCCACTCTTGTGGCAAGTTGAAGCTCAGATAAAAAACTGTAAATTACTCTTGGATTCAGAATCTAGGGCCAGCAAGCACCCAGAGTAGCAGCTTTGAATGCTACAGTATCAAGGAAAGATGTCCTTGTTGACAGATTAAGACCAGAAAGCTCTCCAGCCCTGACTGCTCTTCCAGAGGTCTTGAGTTCAATTCCCAGCAACCACATGGTGGCTCACAGCCATCTGTAATGAGATCTGGTGCCCTCATCTGGCCTGCAGTCATACATGCTGTATACAAAATAAATAAATGAATCTTAAAAAAAAAAAAAAAAGACCAGAAAGCTCCAAGACAGGGCTTCTTTATGGACATTCTCTCTCTTGGGTTAGAATTGTGCAAGGGATGTAAGCAAAGACATTTGATATTCATAAAGAAATGCCTCCAAACAAGTTTTTTATTTTTTAAAGAATAACTATTCAGAGATATTATGCTCTGAACATGTATGTTCAGAAGTATGATCTGTCAGAACTGGAAAGAATATCCAAGATTATTTAATAAAGGTGGAATGTGGTTAATATTTGGGATGTCTCTATGACACCCCTCCTGTCAAGACTCAGGAATCTATATGGAAGAGGGGCAGAAAGAATGTAAGAGCCAGAGATGGTGCTTAACTTCAAGAAAATAGCAGTTTTCAGACACAGGGCAGATGGACATATGAACTCACAGAGGTTGACACCATGCACAAGACCTGCAGTCTCAAGCCTGGCAAACTCCCAGCATGGAGGAGGGGAAGTGGCCGTGAAGTTTCACCCATAGCCAGGCAGCTATTCACAACCGTTAGCTGTTGGCAGAGAAAACGATCATTTTCTTCAATGTAATGCTGGGTGTAACAATATACCCCAGGGCAGGCCTCATTCTCAGGTGTCATCAGTCTGTACAACGTGGACTCTAGTCTGTTTTTTTTTTCTTTTCCTATTTTAAGAGAGAAAGAACATGAGATTAGGTGGTAGCAAGGAAGGTGGGGGATGATCTTGAAGGAATTGGAGGAAGGGAAAGAATATTTCTACAAAATATTTATACAAAAAATATTTTGTATAAAGTTCCCAAAGAAGAAAAATATTATTAAAACAAGTCACATACACACAGAGGAAAAGAGAGACAGAGATGGAGAGAAACAAGGAGCGAAACACAAGGAGAGAGAATGTAACTTGTCTGAGGTCAGACTTGAAGTTAGCAATGGAGTTTCGAACCCAAGTTGGTACTTGGCCTTCTGGGTTTCAAGCCTGGTTTCTTTGGGTAAACTAGTATTAATTTTCTTTATCATACACACAATGTGGAAGGATGACCACAGGGTGCCTCTTATTTTTTTTTTTTACCTATATGGCACAGCAGAACTAAAAATACAGCATTTTATATTGAAAATCAAAGGCTAATCAGAGAAAGAGGCAGAGATAGAGAGATCGATACAGAGTGAGAGAGAACATTTGCACAGACATATATGGGGAGGGGAGGAGATAAGAATCAGGTCAAAAAAGAGGGGGAGGCACTGAAATGTAAAATGAAGAGAACACTGTCTGAGTATCCCAAGTGTGAAAGCTTTGTCTTCATATGGATCAAACCAGGAAGTGATGCCATCAGTAACAAGCACTCTAGTTGGTATGATGAGAAGCAGCAAAAATGAAGAAGGGGGCTACAGGGGTGGCGATTCACTTTCTCACTCCCATCTACCCCCACTGTGGGACAACATACATCTGCCAATACTGTCAGTAGTGTTTGCTTTTGAATGAAGAGCATAAAATCCAATGTACTGAAGTAGCAAATATGGTGTTGGCACTGATCAACGGTGCTACAACAGAGTAGCATCTGTGGTTTGTGAAAAACAGATAAGCAGAGCATGGAGTCCTTTCAGTTTTAGTTCTGCAGCAAACATTTAATCCAAGTCAGGTTTCCCTGTGGTCAAGTATAAATAAGAAACTTAGCTCTTAATACTTACTACAGCAAAAATGATATAAAATTTCCCCGAACTCCAAGAATAGGGAAACAAATTATGTAATATTGGTATGGTAGAATACTGTCAACATTTAAAATTATGGCTTTTGAGAACTGTTAGCAGTAGTTTAGAAATTTGCAAGGTAAGTGAAAAAGCATGATTCAGAAATCGTATCTGTTGAGTTGTATGAATTGTATTAAAGATATTTTCATTCACATCAAACACTTGAAAACAGCAGTCAACTGTCAATAATGCCTCTGTTGTTGTTGGTGGCTTGTGAGCTCCTTCCTCCAGGCTGCAGTGTTGACTGGCTTTACTCAAGCTTGTCTTGTGCAAGCAGTCACAGGGTGTAGGTCCTGTCATGTCCAAAGACATTGTGTCACTCTGGTCATCCCTGACTCCTGGCTCTTGCCATCTTTCTGCCCCTCTCTTCTGCATTGGTTCCCAAGCCTTATGGGAGTAGGGGTAGTGATCTTGATACCCTAATAGTGGCTTAGTACCCCACAGATATCTATTCTCTGCCCTTTGACTGGTTGTGCATGTCCATGTCAGCCACTGGCCACTATACAAAGAAACTTGTCTGAGGTCTGAGGGGTAAACTGATTGATGGGTACAGAGATATGAATCTAGAGGACAATTTGATACTTTGTCCATTTAGTAAAATAATAGTAATAAGTTCACCTTT